AGTGGGCGGGGCCGCGCGACGCTCCTGGGGGCGCGGCCCCACGTCCTAACAGCGTCGCGGTGGGGTGAAGATTCCAACATAGGAACTTGGGGGATGCAGGCATTCAGACCAAAGCAACCAGTCAGAAAGGACGGCTGTTTTCAGAGCGTTCACCCACGGAATTGCCAATGACCAGGAAAGTTGTTTTCCTAAAACCCCAGGATTCCCTCTGTTCCAGTCCCACGTGGCCTCATGACTACAGAGCTAGAGAAGTGGAATCATTGCCCTAAAAAGAAACCTTGTTTATGCTGCGTGGTAAGTGGAGTCCAGGAAACAAATACTTCACAGCCTGAGAGATGAGGAAAACCTCATTGAGTCCCTGTGAGGGCTTGAACAGAGGCAGGAGGTGGACGGGCTGCAGTCCTGGCCGGGGTCTGGCACACAGGCCTCTGGGGGCAGTGGCTGCAGGGCCTCGTCTTTTAGGGCTGAGCGCAGCCACCATCCAGGACGAGATGGCTCTCAGGAGGGTGAAGGCCCTCCTTCATTCAGGAGGAGGGTGAAGGCCCTCCTTCATTCAGGAGGAGGGCTCTCCAGCCACCTACCCTCTTGCCTTGAGGGTCTCTGCCTTCTCAGGTCTTGCCTGAAGCCTCAGTCCAGCTTCCTGCTGTCAAGTGTGGGCTCCCAGGAACCAGCAGAACCCGCACGGAGGAACGGAACATACAGGCAGTGGGGACTTCGAAGTTTCACAACTTTGCTGACATTTTAACCCCAAATTGTCAACAAATCCCTCAGTCCTTCCTGCTTCAGGATGAAGGCCTGCACTGCTGGGCACCTGACGCCGATGCAGAAATGGCCACACAAGGGTGGCAGCCCCGCCCTGAAGAGAGTGGGGAGTGAAGGTCTGGGAGCAGAAGCGAGAAGAAGGGGACAGCTTAAGGAAAATTAAGAAGCTGCTATCTAGGCTGATAGGTTTTGCAGATTCTTTGTAGTTTTATGATTTTATTATTAATAAACCTGTCCACAGGGAGAAACCTGGGTGGTAGGGACGGCAAGGCCAGGACTCCTGCCGTCATGGGGTGCTGACTGCCTTCCCTCCACTTTCGGAGGTCCCGCATTCATGACAAGATCTAATCCAGGTCCAGCCTTGCTCAGCACTGCTGGGGAGGAAGCGTGTGCTACAGTGACAAGAGGCACAGGAAGGAGGGGCCGGGGGCCGGAGAGACCAGGGGTCCATGCTGATCTTGAGGCTTCCTTGCCTCCCTTTGGGTACCAGACAGACCTCAGCCAGGAGCTCTGCAGGCACTTGTTTGGCACTTAAGGAAACTATCTCCTGAACTTCACAAACAGAAACCTGCCCCCCCTAAGCATCTGCAGTGAGTGGTGTGGACACACTTTCAGCTCTGAGCTGTGAGGCTAGGGACGTTTGCATCTAGCACTTTATCCCTGGGCAGGAGACTGTTACCCTTTGCCATATTCTTGGAGTTCCTGGAGCCTGACAAAGGATCACGATCTCAGCGCTATCCCCCAAACCCAGGCGCTTCTGGCCACAGTCAGTAGTCACTTGTTCACGGTGGATCGATTGCTTAAGGTCATGTATCTCCCTGATGTCTCTGTTCCACAGAGAAAAAAGCCACATTGGTTGTTTTTTTGGACCTGCTGTCCAGTTGTCCACCTGCGTCACACCTTGGAAACGGGATGTCTGCACACGTGGGTTACACGGGAGCTCCACAGCACAGGGCATCCTTGAAGTAAGATTTTTGACCTGAGAAACCCATTCTTCAGGCATGACAGGCGGGTGAGTTTCCTGGGGGGAGACACTCCAGGGGACTTGCCGGGATCACGCCAGGTCTGGCAGGTACAGCATAACTCAGGCTGGCAGAGGGTGAACAGCAGTTTGCACTGGGATCCCAAAGGGCTGATTTCACTTTCTGCACCATGTCTCCAACGACGACAGCAGGCGAGGGGAATTCATCAGCTTCTGGGGGTCCTATTGCACTCGAAAGGGACCCAGTCTCACCACCAGGTCGGGCTGGGATTTCCCCTCTGACTTGTCTGGAACGTGAGCCTGCCCCGCCTTCCTGTGCTTTGTGCCCTCTGTCCGACAGCCTTCCCAGGGGTCATGATAATGTCATTTTCCTGTCTATGAAGATTTAACGTTTTGTTTAAGCAAAGACCAAGGGGTGGCAAAGAGACAAAAATTAAAAAGGCAACCTCACCATGGTGACAGGCGGGGAACAGGCCCATAGTACCCCCAAAGTAGCCTATGGTATCAGGGTGCTGAATGGGGACCCCCCCCTAAAGGAAATGCACATGGCTCAGACTGCTGCCCAGGGCACCTTGGCAGTAAAGCTGTGTGACAACTGGGGACCCCTGGAGCAGGCTCACCTCCTGTGGTCACCTTTCTCAATCCCAGCCTGCACAGGCCCCACCTGGCCATTTGGGGGCGGAATTTCATTCACCCAAGTTACTTCCATGGCTGACCACTTAGGAAAGACCAGGTCAGATTTGACTGTAGAGGTTTGAAACCCTTCAAATTTCCCTCTCTCAGGAGGTTTAATTAGAACACCCGCCTGCCCTTCTAGCTTATCTAATCTCAAAGCTCTGAACTCTAAGGACAACCCTTAAAATGTGTCGCCCCAGAAAACCATGAGGAGGCCAGCCACTCAACAGGCTGTTCTAATTCAAGGTCCCAAAGAACCTGTTACAAGTTTCCATATTTTATGTTTTGCCTGGGGAAAAAAAAAAAAAGGTAGACTCAAATATCAGTTATCATTTAGGGGTATGCATGAATTACATTTTATTTACATTTAAAAGTCTCTCCCTGTCCCTGTGCTCTGGTCTGTGGGTGGCACCCACTGGACTTAGTGTAAGCTCCGTGGAGGGAGGGAGGGAGGTGGTGAAAAACCTCTTCCCACAGAAAGGCAAAACCCCAATCTCTCCAGGTCTTGCTTCTGAAAAGACAGTCATCTCCTGGGTGTTCCATGCTTTCTATCCCGACACTGTTTGCTGCTTCTTGGGGTGAGGGACAGTTCCCAATTCCCTGGAGCCTCCTGGGATATGGTTTATGGCAGATAGGATGTGAGGAAAGCCTGCAAGCTCTGCCCTAGATGCCCAGGTTGGCACTTAGTCCCAGAAGGTGAGGGCCAGGCTGTGTGGTGCCACAGCCAGTGATGCCACCATGAGTGAGGCAGGGTAGGGGAGGTGACAGCAAACTGTCCCCGAGTCCAGCAGTGAGTCGGGTGGAGGGACTGATTCCAGCGTAGCGAGGAGGCTGCAGATCTAATGGTGACCACTGCTTTGGCATCAGGATGGGATGGTGTCAAAGCCACGCGGCTGGAGAGGGTGGGGCCATCAATCACTTGTGGGAAAGTTGACGCCCTATGGGAGGCTCAGCCAGGGGCTCAGCTTCTCTTGAGCAGTGTCCCCTGTGCAACCTCCAAGGCACTCACATAGCGTATTTCTGTGTCCACTCTCGCGCCAGTTTGTTGTACCTGGAAGAAAAGAGCAGAGGGGCCGATGTGCTTATTCATTCAATGTCGAGGAGAGAACAGAACTGATGTAGGGATGCTGCTGCTGGCAAACATGAGGACGAAGGAGGGAGTGGAACAAAGGGGCCTGGCCTGAGGCCATTCCTCGTGCCTGTGACCCCCTCCCGTGGGGAGTCCTGATGCTCCATAACTGCCTCTTGTGGAAGATGTGGTAATGCATCGACCACCTCTCATCCTCTCTCCTGTCTCACAGCACCGACAAGGAGGGTCAGGAAAGGGGCTGCCCAGTCAGACTCCAGGATGCAGGCCTTGGAGCCTGGCCCCCAGAGAGGGAGTGGTGCCTGCCGTGTAGCAGGCCTGGTGCCCATGGAGGGCCATGTAAGCATGCGGCATGTGCGCTTATTCTCATTAGTGTAATGAGATCTCGTGCCGTGGGACTGTAAGACAGATTTGTAGCTGGAGGGCAAGGAAAAAAACCACTTTGGGCATATCTAAAGCAGGGGTGGGCAAACTTTTTGACTCGAGGGCCACAATGGGTTCTTAAACTGGACCGGAGGCCGGAACAAAAGCATGGATGGAGTGTCTGTGTGAACTAATATAAATTCAAAGTAAACATCATTACATAAAAGGGTACGGTTTTTTTTTTGTTTTTTTTTAGTTTTATTCATTTCAAACGGGCCGGCCGTAGTTTGCCGATCTAAAGTATCTCATAAGTGTTAAATAAATACAGTTCATAATGTAGTCAATTAAAAATGTCTTTGCCATTCTGGAAAACTCAATGAGGGAAATAATGATCTCTATAATGCTTTCAAGATTAATATGAGTTAGAGAAATCACATTCCATTCTAATCTCTTCAGACAAGAGAACTGATCAACTAAAAGACTCTCTGGAGATGTTCTTTAAAAGGGCCAGCAAATACCCGGCCCTCCTGCCACCACACCAGGCACTGCTCCCAGGCCAGGCTCCTGATGCCGGGACCCCCCCAGGAAGGCCCTTTCTCAGCAGACTGTCGATGCCAGAGGTTTTCCCATGGGGAGGTGAGGGCCCAGTCCTTTCCTCTGTCTGCTTCTCCATCAAAGACACCCCCCGACCACAGTGCATGTGATTGTGCTGGCCCCATGGGTGGAGTTCTACGACTCTGGGTCTGGTCATCAATGTTTAAACAGAGTTGAGGAGGCAAGGATATACAATGGAGTAAAGACTGTCTCTTCAAGAAGTGGTTTTGGCAAAAATGGATAGATATGCAAAAAAATGAAACTAGACCACTTTCTTACGCAATATATAAAAATAAAATCAAAATAAAGACTTAAATGTTATACCAAAAGTATAAAACTCTGAGAAGAAAACAAATGGGACTACATCAGTGAAGGAAACCATCAACAAAACTAAAAGGCAACCTACTGAATGAGAGAAGATATTTGCTAATGCTACATTCAAATAAGGAACTCATACAACTTAACACCAAACAACCTAAATAAAAAATGGGCAGAGTTCTTGAATAGACATCGCTCCAAAGAGGACATACAGATGGCCAATAGACATGAAAAGGTGCTCAATATCACTAATCACCAGGGAAATGCAAATTAAAACCACAATAAAATTTTGACTCACACCTGTCAGAATGACTACCGATAAAAGTCAACAAAAGCCACGGGTTGGCAAGGATGTGGAGGAAAGGGAACCCTCACGCATTGTTGGTGGGACTGCAGATTGGTGCCACTATGGAAGAGCATGGAGGTTCCTCAAAGCTATAAACAGAGCTGCCATACGATCCAGCAATTCCACTTCTGGGTATTAGTATTTAAAATACCAATTCAAAAGGAGATATGCATCCCTATGTTCATGGCAGCATTAGTTATAATAGCAAGATATGGAAGCAACCTAAGTATCCATCAAGAGATGACTGGATAAAGAAGGTGTGGTATGTATATAAGGAAATATTACCTCATCCATAAAAAATAATGAAATCTTGCCATTTGTGACAACACGGGTGGACCTGGAGGGTATTACACTAAGTGAATAAGTCAGAGAAAGACAAATACCATATAATCTCAGTTATATGTGGAATCTACAAAAAAATAAAATAAAATAGGGCTAGCCATGAGGGTGTGTCAGTAACACACTGCTGACTGCTGAGCCTCAATCAGGAGGCCTCCGCCTTACGCTGGCCTATCTGAAAAGACACTCTGTCCTATGCTATCAAGTTTAGAATGTAATCCAGCGTTTTCTTGTCAGATTCTTCTGAGCCCATTCTTGGCTGACCATGACTCTCCTGACCTCAAGGGCAGGCTGGGCAACCAGAGTTTAGGGTTTTGTGGCAGCAGCTGATGAACGACCAAGGAGGGTGAATTGCTTTTATCTCCTCCCTTTTCTCAGAGCCAAAGGGGATGTTCATGAGAGAGTCACCCCTGCGGCCCCGCACGGCCTGGGCAGGGCAGGAAGATGTCTGAGGGAACGTGGTCCGCCAGGAGGCACCAGGTCAGGGTGGGTACCACTGGGGCTCGAAGGAGCCCGAAGAGGATGCGTACTTCTCTCGGTTGGCCTTGTAGGTGTGAGCTATCTCTGGCACCAGAGGGTCGTCGGGGTTGGGCTCGCAGAGCAGGGAGCAGATGGACAGGAGCACTGGGAAGAGAAGAAGAGCTGGGTCAGCCTGGAGGCTGCCTGGTTGCCTGGATCTGGTGAGCCCCCCAAATCAAGCTCTCTTCTGTCTGCATTATTCTGCTTGACACCCCAAAAGTCATGAAAGGATTTGCTTTGCTCGTCTATCAGCTGAAACGAGCTGGCCCAGACACAGCTGCTCTAGGGAGGCCGCAGCTGCCACACACCTTTGGTGTGTATTCCCAGGGGCCTGTTTCCTCATCAGGACATGGAACTCGGAACACTCTGGAATGGGGGGAAGGGGGGGCAGCTTTCCCTCTGTATTCACCATGCAGCCTGTGAAAACCTGGCCCGCCAGCTGCCCGTGCCTCCCACCCCCGCCCCTCAGCTGCCTGTCAGGCTCTGCTGCCTGCTTTGCCTCACACTCCCCTCTGCTTATTTCTTGGGCTCTGGGACCCTGTTTCTCTCTGGCTGATTTTTTTTACCATCCCACCCACTCCACTGAAAAGACACTCACATCGTTTACATTCAGGTTCAGAAGGAATAGCTGCATTTCTGAAGCCCCCTTTAGACTGGTCTCTATAATCTCATATAGGCAACCGAACCCTGTGGACTTGGTTGGGGTGAAACAGCGTCTCCCAATTCCTCCCCCAGGAGCTGTGGGAAGCTGCCTGCTGTCTCTGAGCCTCAGTCTCCACCCAGGGATGCGGGCGTAGAAGGGCTGCTGTGAGAGCCACAAGCCCGGGCCAGGGCCTGTGAGGCTACCTTCAGACACTGTCAGGGATGGAGACCAGTGGGACTGCAGGACGTCCAGACAGATGCTGCCGTTGCTGTGGATGTTGGGGTGGTAAATTTTGGTCGTGAAAGCCACCTGCAGAGACAAGAGACCTCAAGTGAGATAGGCAACAGGGGCGCTCTAGACAGCGTCTCTGGAAAAGGGACCGAGGGAGGCAGAAGAGGCCGCTGCTGGCTCCATGGGCCTAGGTGAGCGGGGCCCCTACCCTGAACCCTGACAGGACTCGGGTGGGACAGCCAAGGGAAGTCCCCTGACCCATTCATTCTGAACATGGGGCCTGACCCACTTCCCCCAAAGCAGTGAGTGGGCTCTGAGGAGCGACAAGGGTGGCAGCCGCACTGGAAGTGTCCTAAGTAATGGGCTTAGGCACCGGTTCTTTTCATCCTCACCGGAAGATGTGTTTTTATTGATTTTTAGAGAGGGAGGGGAGGGAGAGGGGGGAGATGGGGGAAAGGGAGAGAGGCAGACAGACGGACATTGATGTGAGAAAGATCGACTGGTTGCCTCCCACACACGCCCTGACCAGGGCTGAGGATCAAGCCTGCAACCAAGGTATGTGCCCTTGACCAGAATCAAGCCTGGAACCCTTCAGTTCCACGGCACCAAGATTCTAACTTTAAAATAATCAATCTACCAGTTGTGCAGTCAGAAAAATAATCTAAAATGTGGACCCACATACATTGCTATGACCGCCCTTGACCTGTGCCTGTCCTCTTGGCTCCACCGTGAGCCCTCAAAATGCACTTCTTCTCCCCAGCCCCATGTGCCCGCTGCTGTCACCTCCACCCCACTGCACAACTCCTTGGGCTCCTCTGGCCTCCTCCCCACCTTGAGGCCCCTGACCTGCTCAAAATGAGCCCGCGGCCACCCTCCCTGCCACTCTGTGCTTCTTGGCGCTGGCCACCAGACAGGACTATTCCGTAAGAGGCAGGGCTCCTCTCGGTTGGGCTCTGCCCTAGGCCTCTGGCACCTGGTGAGTAATGGGCAGCCCTGCTGGGCCAGGGTGTGGAGCAGGACCCTCCCGCCTTCTCCCTCCGGTTGGTGGTGCTGTCCTCCCTCTGAGGCCCCATGACTGGGATGGTGTGTGTGCAGGGAGGTGACTGCCAGGCCCACTGACACTCAGGTCCTGAGCCCATTGGGCAGTGGTTCTCAACCTTCCTAATGCCGTGACCCTTTAATACCGTTCCTCATGTTGTGGCGACCCCCAAGCATAAAATTATTGTCGTTGCTACTTCATAACTGTAATTTTGCCACTATTATGAATCGTAATGTAAATATCTGATATGCAGGATGTATTTAGGCGACCCCTGTGAAAGGGTCGTTCGACCCCCAAAGGGGTCGCGACCCACAGGTTGAGAACCGCTGCCATAGGTTATGAGCAACATTCCTGGGCTCCCCCTCCAGAAACCAGTAGCAATCCCCCTTCCGCCCGTCCTGTTTTTACAGCCCAAACATCCCAGGACAGTGTCCAATGTCCCTGGGACAGGGCTGAGGACTCCTGGCCGAGAGTGAGAGGGACTGCAAAGAAGGGCCAGATGCAGCTACAAACAGGCAGAGCACCGTCCCCGATGGCTCCAGGGTTTCAGGTTTGGGCTGTGACGGTGCAGCTTGCTGCACCACTGACTAGAAGGGCCCCTTCATCACACTCTGAGCCGTCCTCACCTTTGGGGGTTTGAATGGATAATCTGTGGGAAAGTGGATGTTCAGGAAGAAAATGCCTCCTTGGTAAGGACTGTCATTCTGGAAGGATGAGACAGGCAGTTAGTGTGCACAGAAGCATGCAGCAAGGGAGGAAGCACAGGGGTGGCGCTCAGTGACAACTACCTACCGGGCCGGTGATGGTGGCCTGCCAGCAGAACCCTGCAAGACAAACAGGAGGATGTCAGAGACCCACCCCCCAAAAATGTCTACTCCACCCAGGGGCCCCCAGACTCCCAGGATCTGGCTCACAGTTAGTGGTTATCACCAGGGAGGCTCATCAGTGGCCAAGACTGATAAATGGACTCCCACATGGCTGATCTGGGGGTCCAGTCTCTCCGATGTGGCCAGCCCCACCCTAAGTCACACTGTTGGTGGGTCAAAGCCACAGGTAGGCAGAGACTGTCCAACAGGCAGGAAATCGCAGAGATCACCTCCCAAGGCTGCGGACAAAGGCAGATCTTCGACAGAGCTAAATTCTTTACACCAGCGGTTCCCTCTCCTCTTTGCACAGAATTAAGGCTTCAGCCACTTTCCATCTTCCTTTTTATAAATCACTTCCGCTCCCTCCTTCCCTCGGTCGTTCTGAAGCCCTCTGCCACGGGTCTCTCAGGAGCCACGCCCTTGGCCCTGGAACCTCTCCAGGGCCCCCCTCCATGGTGTCTGTCCCACATCGCCCTGGGCAGTGCCCACGCTCTGGGGATTCGGTGACATCGTGCCTGGTGAGAAGCTCCAGAGCACTTGGCAAGGCTGGCCTGGGGGTGGGAGGGTGGGGTGGGGGGGCAATGACTCACCTCCAAGCTCCCAGGGCAGTGACTCATCTTCGTGGAACATCCCGACCACCAAGTGGGCTCCTAAACCACTGGAGGGATGTGTCACTCTAGGGCAGTGGTTCTCAACCTTGGCTGCACATTACAATGACCCGGGAACCTTTTTAAAATCCTGATTTCTGGGCCTCATCCTCCGGAAATTCTGTTTCTTTGTGATGGGGTGAGGTCACAACATTAGTAACACAGAAACAGAATTTCCGGAGGATGGGGACCAGAAATCAGGATTTTAAAAAGATTCCCAGGTGATTCTAATGTGCAGCCAAGGTTGAGAACCACTGCCCTAGGGAATTCTGTCTTATGGCTCCAGGGTGTGGGAATTAACCCAAAGTTTTAGACGTGTTGGGTTCCTGCCACCTGTTCAAATACGCCCCCCACCCCCCCAACTCTCCCTTGAAAGCAGAACAGGAAATCATCAAGGCACGAGGAGGGGCAAGTGCAGGGACTAAAGGGAGGTTTTCCAGACCCTAGAGGTGCCAAAGGAGTCACGGCCACCCAGGACCTTTTCAATACTTCAAGGAACTGGTACAAAGAGCACACGTTACCTGTAACAAGGCTGCCTGAGCCGACCAAAGTGTCACTTCTTTTGCTTTTGACTGGTTTTATGCCAACTCGTGCTAATTACTAGCTGTGGTTGGCAGGTGGATATACCTTTCCTAATACTGTAGAATGAACGAGGGACTTGGAGCCCATGGGGAGAAGTAGAGAGTGAAAGTCGTTCCTTCTGGGACCTTTGAGGGTTGAGGGGGCTGCACAGGGCTTGGGGCCCGGTGAGGAGAGACGGCCCCAAAATAGAAGAGAAAGGAAACTGCAGGCACTGCTGGAAAGGGGCTGCTTGCCCACAGGGAGGCATGGAATAGCCCCAAAGCGTAGGTGTGTCCAAGGTTGTATACGCCTCAGCCGGGAGGTGCTGAGCAGGAAGGGGGACTAGGACGCCCTCCAGCAACGACGCTGCCTCCGGCACGGGTCTGTCGTGAAGGTGAGCGTGCCACCAGGACCAGCTCCATCTTACCAGCCACCCTCGTGTGGCATTGTTGTGACAGGTAACATGGGAAACTATGCTACGGAGACCTGGATGCTTGGAGAGACAGCACGGGGCAGGTGCCAAGCAGGACCAGGAAACAGCGGCACCACAGCCGCCCTGTTCACCAGACTGTCACAGGCGCCTTCGCACATCCACTCTCAGTGCTGCAGCCCAGAGCAAGTGCCTATGACCCCACCGCCTCTTTCCTGCCAGCTTGGTGAAGTTACACTTTCTTTTTTATTGCAGTAACATGTGTAACACATTAGTGACAAGACAGAGTTACCAGGATGGATAGTGAGGGTGGCTGCCTAGCGGTGTGGATGTATTTGACACTACTGAACTGTGTACTTAAAGGTGGTTAAGATGGTAAATGTTATGTGCATTTTCACACAATAAAAAAAAAGACCCACGTAAAATGTCATCTTAGCCACTTTAAGTGAGAAGTTCAGCGGTATTAAGTGTATCAGTGTTGCCCAGCCACCACCATTGCCCATTCTGACACATCTTTCATGACTCCAAACAGAAATCCTGTACTGTTTCTCCCTCTCTCCACTTCCATGAGCTCCCTCCACTTCTGGTCGCAGGCACTTGCCTACTCTAGATATTTCCCCAACCGGGACCACACATTAGCCCTTTTGTGTAAGGCGTATGTGACCGTGCATGCTCTCAGGGCTCATCCGTTTTACAGCACAAGTCAAAACTCCTTTCCTCTCCATGGCTAACCACATACTGCTGTGTGGACACACCACACTCCACTTACCCCTTCACCTGTCGCTGGGCACTTGGGCCTTCAGTGACTGAGTACCTTCATTTGAGTTCTGTTGGGAGTCCCTGTTTTCAGTTCTTTGGTGTCTGTGCAGGATACCCCGTCTTTGACACCATCTCATGGTCATGATGAGTGAGAGTGGAGGTGAGGTGGGAACAGAACATATGCACTTGGGGGCCCATGAGCTGGGCAGCTGGGCCTCGGCCGGTCAGCTGTAGAGGAGCAGAGGGCTGGCTGCTGCTCCCCGGGGAGGACCAGAGTGGGGGAAGCACAGGCCCTCCTGCCCACCCCTACCCTTGGCAGAGGCCAGGTGCCCCACGTGCAACAGCACCACCGCTTTCATGACCACTTCACACATTTTCGTTGGTCAGAGGCACTTTCCAGAAGCCAATGTGCTTGCAGGTGCCCCGGGGGAGGGGTGGTGACATCAGGCACCATCCTCATTAGCCAGGCTATGAACTTAATGCGTCTAATGAAAAAGCAGTTCACGAGCAAATAAGGGAAAACGAGTTTTCTTAGGAAACAGCTGCGTTAATAAATTCCGGGGTCTTGATGGCAAGGCCCCTGTGACCTGGAGCCTGGAAGAGAATACTCACAGTCATCTCCCACAGGTCTTGCGGACCACTGGGCAGGAGGATCCCTCTGCAGGTCACTCAATTCCTAGAACACAAGGAGCGGCTCAGAGCTGTGCCGGAGGCTGCTCTGCACCCACACCCTTGGCCAGAAGTGCATCCTCCTGGGGGAGGGCCTCCAGGCCTCAGGAGCAATTGGCCTGGCAATGGAAACAAGAGACCGGAAGCTCTGCTTGTGGTTGTGAAGACACCTGTCAAGTGTGTGTCAGAATTTCCATTTTGTAAGTTGGGAAACTGAAATGTGAAGAGATTAAGCTGCCTACCCAAGATCACCGAGCTGAGAGGGCAGGGCAAGGAGTTCTGTGTGTGTGTACCTCACCCGCAAGCCTACCCTCGCTCACACGCAGGTGAAGACAGGGTTTTAGCTCTGAGCTCCAGAGTTAACGCATGGAAGCCTTCAGCCCAGAGGAAGGACAGGGCTCCTGCACTTCCATCTTGCTCCCCTCCGCCCTGACCCACCATGAGTGTGGCAAGGCTCAGGGCTCTGGGTGAGAGAGTAAGGCTACGATGACTGATGCAGCCGCCTGTGTACCTGCAGAGAAACGGGAGTTACACTACAGCTAGATTCACAATCCCCTTGTTTTCCTGGCACAGCATGAGCATCACAGCCCAAGCTTTTGGACAGTGGCTCTAAAAGTGAGTTTGCATGTCCCTGCATTTGTCTTCATCTTCTCCGTCCTCCCAGGTTCCAGATCTGGGCCAACCTCGGAGTTTCCAGGGAGGCTCTACAGCCCAGGAAGAAGGCACAGACCAAGGTCCGGCAGGTGGCAGGGGAACTCCGGGTCTGGAGCACAAGCACAGAGCTCACACCTGGTTGGCAACACTCCTCCCTGAACAAGCCTGAAAAGGAGCCCAGGCACCAAGACCGCTTGACCCCCGATGTCTGGGGCATGCTGACCATTCTAGTTCCCCCCACTCCCCACTCTGGCTCTCACGCCACCTGTGCCTACTCCTCCTCCCCTCAAATACTGGCCACGCAGGAGTGTTTGCACCACAGCAGCCAGCAAGCACTACACATCCGGCCACATTTCATCCCAGAGCATCGGTGGTAAACACCTCGCAGCTTCCTACAGCGCCTACATGAGCTGCCCTCGGTAAGCTCACAGTAAGTGACACAGCAGAGATGAACTTGGGCAACAACTAAGGCCACAGTACAGGACGGAAGGCGGGCCACCGAAGCCTCCCAAACAGGTCCTCCTGCCCACGCCTACGCGCAGCAGCCCCAGCACCACGGCCACGGCCACGGAGAGAGGGCGGCTGTCAGGACAACCGTGGAGAGACCAGGGGAGGGCCGAGCGCAGGCCGGGCTCCCGGTTCCCCCAGAACGTGGCCCTTCTCTCGGGGCGTGGGAAACGGTTACTGGGACCTAATGCTTCTTGAAAGACCTCGAGTCTTGTCTTTTTTTTTTTTTCTCTTTAATATGTTGATTTCAGGAAGGGAGAGGGAGAGAGAGACTGAAACATCAATGATGAGAGAGAATCACTGATTGGCTGCCTCCTGCAGGCCCCCTCCTGGGGGCGGGCATGTGCCCTTGACTGGAATCGAACCCGGGACCCCAGTCTGCAGGCCGAGGCTCTATCCACTGAGCAAACCAGCCAGGGCAAGGCCGCGCGTCTTGATGGAGGGAGTCCAACAGCACCGAGGAGCGCCAACTGCTCACTGGGATTCAAAGGAAGAACAATGTGGCTTCGGAAAAACAAGTCCGCACGTTCCCGCGTCGCTAACGGGCGCTGGCGGTGGCGCGGCCGCAGGTGCGGGCCGGCCTCTGTCGTTCAGCCCCACGCGCCGCGCCCCACCTTAAACTTTAAAATTAAGTTTATTGATGGAGAAAGAGAGGAGGGAAGGAAACGTGGACTTGTCGCCCGCTGGTTTGT